GTGGAGAAAGTGGGTGAAGCCCAGGCACAGAGGACCAAAGCCCACAAAATGGTTCCCTAGTGTCTGAGAACCTGTGCAAATAGTCTTAGCCACGTGTTCTTTCTGTCTGGCAAGGTGGTAACCAACTAGAGAGGTGATTTCTTCATACTCCCCACAGCAGCAAGAACAGTCACCACCAGTGATGGAACCCAAGTTTTGGCTCCAGAAACAGAAAGAAAGCAGGGGAGGAGGAAATGACTGCTGCGGTATATACTAGAGTAGTGTAATAATGACTCTTCCCTGTCCTTTAGTTTTATACCTACATATGCAGAGTTCACTTTCCTCATTTTAAGCTTCAGAATGGAATCATAGTGCAATTTGGGCCCTGACTGGTGTGGCTCAGTGGGATGGGCATCGTCCCATAGACCATAAGGTCATCAGTTCAATTTCCAGTCAAGGCACAGGCCTGGGTTCCAAGGCCAGGTCCCTGGTTGGGGGTGTGAAAGGCAACTGATCACGTTTCTCTTGTGCATCAATGGTTCTCTCCCTGTCTTTCTCCCTCTCTTCCCCTCTCTCTAAAAATAAATAAAATAAAATCTTAACAAAAAAATATTGCACTTTGAAGGGGGACTAACAACATCACGTTTGTGAGGTTTTGTCACAAACCTTTGTGAGCTGCTTTTGTTCATTTTCATTGCTTTGACTACAGAATTCTACTTCTGGCATAATCTATTTCTGATGGCCATCTAGGTTGCTTCCAGTTTGGAACAACTACAAACACTGCTCATTTCTGCCTAGTACACACAGGCAAGTATATGCAGCCTTGACTAGCTCAGGCTGAGCTACTTCCAAACTGTCTGTACCAGTGCACATTCCCACCAGCAGGCAAGGAGCACTCACACTGCTCCACAGCCAAACCCATATCTGGTATTATCATCTTTCACGTTTCTGCCAAACTAGTGCAATGGGAAATAGAATCCCACTGTGTATATGTGTACATATAAACACTTAAAAAAAAAAGGAAAGAGAAAGAAATCACATAAGAAAGGCCCAGTAATAGGCAATGGAATCCTATAAGCTGGTGCTGCTTGATCCAACTAGGAAGTGCTGTAAATGTTTATCTTTTGAGAAGAGGGGTCCAGCCAGCTTCCATTCTTCCAATCCCTTTCTGGGGATCATATGCTGTAGGCAAAGCTCTTCCTCAGTTCAAGAGTGGAACAAGAGAATTAGTCTTAAGCCCCCCTGGCTACAGTGCTTGCTTCAGGGATGAGAACATGACTCATTACAGCCAGTCACAAGGGGACCTAGTTGAGATACAGGGGGAAAAAAAGATTCTTGTGCTTTCTCAAGAACTTGCAAAAGCTGATGTCATATGGTTAGCAGCTGCTAGAAAAATTTTATTAACCAGAGGGTTAGTCTGTTTGAAAATGAAGCCAACCCAGAGGTGAAGTGAAAGATACCAGGTCCATCATGTATTAAGCTGTGCCTGAAGCTACCCTACCACTGAACTTTTCTGTCACATGAACTAATAAATATGCTCTTTGCATAGCCAGCTTGGTATATCTGTCATCTGAAAACAAAAAGAAAAAAGAATCCTGAGAAAGTTATTGAAGGTTACTAAGCTGGAATATACAAAGAACTTGTGCAGAAAAATGAGCCTATTTACCTACACAACAGTCCTATAAAAAGGCAGATACCAATCGGCAGTTCTATCTCTGGCACTCACCTGAAGACTACCACCTGCCACGCCTTGACAGATCCCCAAATGCTCTCGGCCACCATGTGCCCTCCCCACAGCTCATAGAAATTCTGAATGAGGAAGCACAGGTAGAATCTTTTCCCACCCCAGCTGTCATTTTAACTAAACCCTAAAGTGAAGAGTTCTGGGTTAGGACTAAAATCTGGAGTTTCACCTACCCTCCACAACTCTGCTATTCAGCCTGGGACTAGATTTCTTGACCTTTCTGGGTCACAATATTATCATAAAGATATGGGAGTGAGAGGGAATACCCAGGCCATTCAGAACTGTGAAATAATAGAAAAATATATATTGGCCTCTGCCTCTGTTTCTGACACAGAGCTCCTGAAACCCTTATCATTTCCTAGGTGGTAAGAGCACTAAGAGCAGATTTTGTTCTATTGAGGCAACTCTGGGTGGATTCCTGGGTGGGGCCTGATCACCCAAAAGACCAAACCAGCCCTGGTCAGTGGGGCTCAGTTGGGGTATCGTCCATAAGCCAAAAGGTCACAGGTTCAATTCCTGGTCAGGGCACATACCTAGGCAGCACATAACAAGGTACAACTGATCAATATTTCTCCCTCACTGATGTTTCTCTCTCTCTCCCTCTCTCTCTCTTCCACTCTCTCTAAATAGTAACAGGAAAACATGTCCTCAGGTGAGGATTTTTTTTAAAAAGACCAAGTTATGATTAGAAGCTTAGAATTTTCAGTCCCAGCTCCCTATTTCAACAGAGGAGAAAGGGGCTATAAATGAAGTTATAATTGATCATGCCTCCTTTAGCCTCCTTAAACTCCCCATCGTACAGGGTTCAGGGAGCTTTCAGGTGGGTGAACACATCCACAGAGGGAATGTGATGCACTCCAACTTCACAGGGACAGAAGCTCCTACACTTGGGACCCTCCTAGACCTTGCCCTATATAACCCTTCATCTGGCTGTTCATCTGAATCTTTATCACATCTTTAAATAAACTGCTAAATGTTAGTAAGTGTTGGATTGAGTTTTTCTATCACAACAGAACAAACCAAAATAAAGGTCTGACAAGTGTACAAGCATATTTAATGTGCAACATAAATTCAGTGTTATTATTAAGTGCAACCAGAGCACACTAAACGTAGCCAAAATCTTTGGGTCAGGTGTGCTGTTTTATTGTGCTGATGTTGGACAATTTGGCTATCAGGCAAAAAGCTAGTTTATCAAATTTGTTTTCTCAAGATCATAAATGGAGTCGGTGAACTCCGCACAGGTGAGGTGGAACTAGTCTAACCATTCACTCCATGAAGCCAGGGGTATAAAACTCATTTTCACCAAGGGCCACAACAGCCTCTCAGTTGATTTCAAAGGACCAAATGTAATTTCAACTCCTTAACAGTTAAGGAGTAGTTACATTTATACAATCCTAAAATTATTCCAGCCCTTTGAAGGCAACCATGAGACTGATGTGGCCCCTGGTGAAAATGAATTTGACACCACTGATCTAAGCCATCAGCCATGGAGTTGCCATTTTTCATCAAATTTAATATCCATGTCATTACATTAGGTATCTCTGAAATCAGTGTGATCAATGGTGTGTCAGAGTTTGGCAAGATATTAAATAATTGATGGCATCTTAGATTTGGTGAAATGTGCTGCCAGGATAAGGTAACACACAGGTCTCACTGCATTGCTCCAGTGCTTCAAAACTCCTGAATGAGCTCAAACAAAGCTGCACAGCAGGGCACACAAGCTCCTTATCATCTGGCCCCCCAGCTAACCATCCAGCCTACAACCCTACCTCACCCTTGCTAGAAACAGTGAACCAGGAACACAGCCCCTTCCTCACAGCCCTCAATCCCCACCCCTTGCCGTTGTACATGTTCTTTTTTCAGTCCCAGCTCATACTGAACACCTTAATCAGATGTGCCCCCTCATCTCTGAGGTCCTTCCTTGAATAAGTTAGTAAGGCAGAAGATAGAGACAAATTTCCAATGCAAAAGAATGTCAAATAATAATATGACCATACACGTCCTTAAGGAGGGGAAATATACTTCCCACGCCTTAGGTATGGGCTATTGGACTATTGGGCATGGTTAGACTATTTTCCAAAGAGTATAATATGGGGGTGGGGGAGGGTGGAGAGAAAGGAGTAACTTTACCGAGAAACCTGACAATCAGTATTTCAGCCAAGTGGTCAAGATCATCATCAAATCATAAATTATGCTGATAATATGTACCTTTGATAAAATGTGATGAAAATGACAAAGTACCTATAAGCTCTAGGATGCCAATAACCCATAAGACCAGTCTTAGGAGAAAAACAGACAAATTCCAGTAGAGGAGCATCCGACAATATACATGACCAGTGTTCCTCAAAACTGTCAAGGTCATCAAAAACAAGGAAAGGCTGTGAAACTGCCACAGCCAAGAGGAGCATAAGTAGATGTGGGAATTAAATGTGATGTGGTGTCCTAGAGGGGATTCTGGAACAGAAACAGTACCTAGGTAAAAACTAAGGAAACTTGAATATTATGGACTTTGGTCAATAATAATGTACCAATATTGGTTCATTAATTGTAACAAATGTGCCCTACTACAATGTAAGATGTTAATAAAAGGGGGAAAGACTTACGGCATATGGGGACTCTGTACTCACCTCACAATTTTTCTGTAAATCTATGACTGTTCTAAAAAATGAATTCTACTTTTTAAAAAACTGATTAAACTTGGGGAAATGCATTCCAGGGATTATGACTTTGGCTAACAGTTAAACAGGAGGCTCCTACAGGGGCCCTGACACTGATATTTGTTGCATGTATGAAGGGCTGACTGTCCTACCATCATCTGAAGAAACACAAATCATTGTGGCATCAAAACCGAAATGTACTGAGAATCTGGAAGTGTTTGAGGCCCATCTGGTCCAAAATTGGGAAGAAAAACGTCAGGAAAAATACTAATGTGCTAATAAGCTGAAAAAGGGAGGAGATACCTAGCTCCAAGTACACATGACTAAGCCAGTTTATTCAGACCAAAAAGCGGGGGGGGCGGATAAAAGAAAACATGACTTTGGTCATGGCAAGGGACAGACGATCTGCTTGGTTCCAAGCAACCAGAGCGCCATCGGGCCCCACTTTCTTCTGGCTCTGGCTACACGGAGTCTGCGTCAGGCACCGAACAGCAAGGAAGACACTCAGGCAGGTTAGGCCGGGAGGACAGGGTGGACCTCACCCTCTCCCGAGCCTCCCAGACCAGGACGCGCAAGTAACGGCTGCTTTGCTGCATTTCTCATCCTACACCCCTACTCACCGGTGCAGAGCTCCTCACCACGAGCCGAGGCTGTCCTCGCTAGTCTCTCACGGTGGTTAGACCCGGGTTGTGAGAGTAACCTCCCAGTAACCTTCCAGTTCTTCCGAGCCTTCCACCGAGACTTCTGCCTGACCGGATTGGCCCCTGCTGAACCCCGCTGCCAATGGGAGCCTCAGGCTCTTCTACGTTACTGATCGCTCAGCAAGTCTCCCGGCCACTGCGGGGGTGGGACAGCAAGTTCAAGAAAAGGAAACTGAAATCAGACTTTCTCACAGCCGGAGTTCCAGTGCGAGCCGCAACGTTACCAGGTAGAAAAGTCAAGTTCTGAGGCTTAATGAGCCCCTTTGTGGGGCTCTGGGATACCAGAGTCTCCTTCCCTCCGGCCACGACCCTGCACTTCGCAATTCTCGACCCCCTCCACCCCCGGCTTATCAGGGTCGATGGACGCTTTGTGGCTAAGTGGCGCTCTCCAAATGCACCATAAAATAGGACTCCCTGCCCCTACGTAGCCTAAATTTGCTTCCCGGTGTAAGCAGGATCTTAGCGAGCAAATATTCTCAGTGGACTATTTGCAAAAATGATCATTTCTGAAGCACCTGCGATGAGTACGGGGCTTTACATAAAAAACCCTTAAACCAGGCACACATTAATATCCCCATTGGAAAGAAGGAAAACTGAGGTTCCAACAACTTAGGGGCCTGAGCATGGCTCAGTGGGCCAAATGCCTTCTCAGGGATTCAGAGATCACTGAACCTGCAAAGCAGGCCGAGACTCCGGTTCCCTGGGTCCTAGGGAAGGTTTCCAGAGGCTCCCGCGTCCCCAGAGCCCCTGGCAGGAAAGTAACCATACGGAAGTCCCACGGCTGCCCAGCCTGCGTTCTCTTCCTTCTCTGCTGCAGCCACTGCATGCGGTCGGCTGGCACACAATCCCCTTGGCAGCCGTTGCTGTGTCCCAGGCACTGCCGCATTAAAATACCCCAGTCTCCCCGGGCTAGCAGGGCTCTCAGCCCCTTCACCCCCTGCGCGGAGCTGGGAGAAGAGTTGGTGAAGGTTCTCCGAATCAGCCAGTTCCCAGCCCCTAAGCTTATTGGAGGGAAGATCCACCTTCCGGCAGAGGTCACTCTCCTAGGCGGGGTTAAGGAGGTAAGCTGCAGATGTTGGGGCTGGGTGATCTCTTCATAACCAAATGCGCTCACCTAAACCCCTACCTCGCCTCCACTCCTCCCCCACAGGGGCGGAGGAATTTAAAGTGAATACTCAGTGTGTATCCTGTGATGGTAGAGGGGTAAGGTATTCAGAAGAAACCCACAGCCATGTTTTACACCCTGGTCTTTACACCTGCCCTTCAGCCTTAACCCTCTTTGTCCAGAGATGTAACTCCCACAGTCCCTCTTCTCTAGGTGGGAAGGATTCGGATCTCACCCTAATTGAAGGAGTCTGGCAGGCCTGGGGTCTGAATAGTGTGTCAGCACACCCTAGACTCTCCAGCTTCCTGCTCTTTTAGTTGGTACTGTGGAAGGAAGCATGTTTCACATGCCCCTTAAATGATGTTCTGCTACTATCCATTTTCTCCCAGCCCCTAAGAGGTACCTACCCCACCCACAGGCCATGCTGTACATTCTTCAGCAGTAGAGGTCTCTTTCCTTGCTTAAAATTCTCTCTTCCCAGCCCACTTCACAGAAACCGAAGACTTGTGCGGGGCCCGAGGGGCTGACATGACTGCCTTTCTTAGCTGGCTGACTTCCCTCTTGCCACTTCTCCTCAAACCCTGTGCTTCAACTCCTCTGGTCTTGAAACACTGTCCTAGCCCCTTGCAATGGCTATGCCTTCTTGTCAGTCATGTTGAAACAGGCTAGTAAGCTAGGACAAGTGTAATACTTCCCCTGCTCAACCTAAACCTGAAACGATGTTGAAGGTGGGTGTGGCCCTGTGCTGGACAGGGTGGATTCCCCAGGGTGATCAGGCCTAAGAAAGAATGCATGGCATCCTGTGAAACCTGCTTTGCTAATACCCTAAATTTAAATGATAAGGGTCCAAGCATGAAATGAGTTGTTTCCCCAAAGTTTTATGGCCCCTTAGCTGTTGGGAACCGCCCTGACTGGTATCAGAGGCTGAAACCCCCGCCTAGGCTAAGGCTAAGGGAATGCCCTTGGAACCGTGAGCCAGCAAGGAGACAAAAGCTTGTCTTCCTGGCAGGAATGCTGCTTCTGCTGCTTTATTCATAACTGAACCCCCAAAAAAGCTTGGTCGGGTTAGCCAAAGACGGGTAAGATTCCCCACGGGGGAACGACCTAAGACAGGCACGATCACTTTGGGAGGCCCCCCAAAAGAAGGACTTGGGGGGGCTGCAGCAAAAGGGGGGTGATGGACCCTCGCTCCTCGGCTCTGACATAGCCTGAGTTCTCAGCGTCTGGGAGAAAACTTCCTTGTCTCTCGGTTGCTTTAGTTCCCTTGCTCCACCTAAGCCTGAAACAATGACAGGGTGGTGCAGCTCGGTACTGAGAAGTGCGGATTCCCCAGGGTGATCAGGCCTAAGAAAGAATATGTAAATTACTGTGAAACCTCCTTTGTTTAGAATGCTCTCAGTTGAATGAGAAGGGTCTTAGGAGGAAGTTATTTTGTTCCTCAGTCTTACAGCTCTTTGACCCCCCAACTCAATAGACCGGCAGAGTTCTTTGTTTTCTATAGTTCCTTACTTCCCCTAATGAGTACTGTACTTTACCTGAATTATTATGCAAAATGAGCCTAATAAAAGCAGGTATGGACGGTAAATCAGCGCTCCCCACTAGGGGGGGTGGCCATTCCGTCCCTACTTCCCCACAGAAACTAGTTTGTCTCTGTGCATGTGTTGTTTTTTCTCGCGTGTGTTTCAGCGAGCCATCCGCAGCGTTCCGTGGTCACTGCTGGCTGGTGACCCACGCGCAACACTTAGCTATCTGACCCTTACTCAAAATAAGCCCTCAGAGTTCTTTGAATGTTATATGTTTGATTATTACTGCCTGACAATGATTGATGAGCTTTCCATATACTCCCTGTATTCCTGTGCAAATTAAAGCCAATAAAAGCTTGTTAAGGCAAGGGTCAGTGTGCTCTCCTCATGCTGTCCCTTTTCCTCTACAGGACTCAGTAGTACATGTGAATTTGTCTTGTCTCAGCCACAACGCCATGGACACTGCTTGCCGGTGACTGCGTCAGCTTGTCCTGGGCTCACCCCTTGAATCTTTCTCCAAGTCCCCCCATTTCTCTGACTTCTCAGTGAACCAAAACAGCTTAGCCTCGGCTCATTTCTTTCCTATAACAGTTCTAGAGAGACAAAGCATTCCCATCTCGGCTCTCTCCTGTTGCTTCTCCTATCCTAAACCCATCTTTGTTTCACTGTCCCCAGCTTTAATAAACATACTCTCAAAATCATTTGGACTTGTGTTATGAAATCTTTCCTGCACCAAGTCAAGAACTCACCCACCACCAGCCCACCTGAGGTAGACCTGCTCTCAGCTGGTCTCCTGTCTGGTAACTTTGTCTCTGTTCAACTAGCATCTCAGTTAGGGCTTCTTCCCCCCTCCTCTAAATCAGTTCCCCATAAAGCATCATTCTGTTTCACTTTTTGCATTCATCTGTTACCATTTCAAAGAATCTTGTTCATTCCTCTGTTAATGTGTATATTTCATGCCTCCCCCGCCTCCGCAATGTAAGTCCTGTGAGAGTAGAGACTACATTGCCTGCTTTCTGTGCGCCTGGCTGTCAAAACATGTACGTTGAATAAATGAGCTCTTCTAGAAAATTTCTGGAACTCCCACCACAGTATTACTTGACTGGTCCCATGCCAACATCTGGCCCTGCCCTGACACACTGCAGGACCTCTTGTGTGTTAGGCAACCTTCAGGTTCTTGACTTGCCCAGGAAATGTTTTAAGAATGAGTCACAGTGAAAACAAAAGCAAGTTTTATTTAGGTAGAGAAAAAGAAAGAGGCTAGGAGGCAAGTTCCTGGAGACAAGATCAGGAGACGTTTAGCCTGGGACTGGCTGGCAGTGCCCATTACACCCTGGTTGCAAGTCTCACATGGCGCAGATGTGAAAGAAGTGAAGTGTGCATCCAAGTGGATTCAGTAGAACTGGTGAGTGAGCTGCACCCCAGTCATTCAGTTCTCAGAATTTTAGGGTTTCTGGCTTTTTAACTTTGTGGTACCAAATTCAGTCTCCATCTTTGGGTTGGAAAGGGCCCAGTTATCCTTTATATGGTCCCTTCTAGAACTGCCATGCATTCATCCCCCTCAGGTGCCCTTCTACTTATAGTGTCAGTTTTCATTATGATGGTATAAGGAGATTTGAGGTAAGTTTCTGGTCATTTTTTCCTCCATGTTGGAATGAGTGATCTGGCTTTAGCTAGCTCCTGTTGTTGACTTCTGCAACCATTGCAGGGGTTTCCTGCCATAAACGGTTTCCTTTTTATCATGCTTGGAGGTGTGGGTTCTGGTGAGGGAACCTAGGAGCTTATCAGCCTATGATGCTCCTACTTCCTCACTCTACTTGTTGGGATTTTTCCATAACTTCTTTCTATCCTACCTCAACACTATGCCTTGATTGATGCAGTTTCTCAAGTCCAAGTAAGGGTTGTGGAAATGGGGACTCCAAAACTGACAGACTCAGGCAGGCCTAGGAGGAATGGAAAATCACCAGACAGGAAAACTGCACCATGGGAAATTGTTGCCTGGGAAAATTCCTTCCTGGGAAACTGCCTGCTGACCCTACCCAGGACAAGCAGATGCCCAGCTAAGATTGGGGTTTGGGGTCAGCCTATCTGGCATATCAGGATGCAACTTTAACTTGAGCCCGACAAGGTGTATCAAAAACAATGGTCAGCAGAAATGGCACCCAGCAACCAGCTCTAGCCAATCAGATCCTGACTCCCCAACCAGTTAACCTTTGTGGGTTTTTGTGCTTAAAAACCCTGCCCTAAGAACAACAAAGCAAGTCTTAACCTCCCTTGGTTGGCTCCCCAACCTCCCTAGGTTGGCTCCACCTTTTCTTCTTATTCCCCACTAATAAACCCTGCTCCCTAGCTTGCTGCATCTGTCTGGTTTCTTAAGCGACTCCAACCTAACAAAAACTTTGAAGTCACAGGAAGTTCTATTGCAGTGCACAGTGGTAACTGTCCCTGTAGCTACTTGGGGCTCAGGTGCACTGGCCCCCAAGGTTCTGAGAGCAGAGCCAAAGTTCCTTCCTCTAGTTCTCCAGACCCATGTTTGTATCATATAAAGACCAGAGCAGTATATGGTGCTGGTTAGGAGTTTGGCTTTGGAGTCAGGTCTCCACTGGATTTGACATGGGCTGGAATCCTCCACTCTACCACTTTCTGTGTGATTTTGGACAGTTGCTAAGCCTCTGTGTGTTACAGGTTTTTCCACTGCAAACTAGAGATGATAATTATACCAACTTCATAGAACTATTGTGAAAATTAAATGAGAATACTTCTAAAGTCTTAGAAACAGTGGATAAGTGTTGACTAGGTGAAAGGGTATGATATAATTACATTTGGAATCAGGATCTTAAATCAAGCAAAAAGATTTAGTACTGTCAAAATTTATAATAGACTTTACGACAGAAATCAGGAGGGTCTATGGGAGGAGCTTTCATATGCTATGTCATCAGAAAATCCTCCAGGATGAACTCTATTTAAAACATGGCTCCATGGTTATAACACCTCTCATAACTGCAATTACCAGATTGAAATGCTTCATCCCCGCCTATAGGGAACCGATCAGCATGGCAATGGCAAATGTAGCCCCGTATTGATCTGGAAAACTGATCAATGTGAGGCAGCACACAGGAGCCAGGTGTGCACATTGGCTTTCCCATGGGAAATCAGGCTTGCATTGTACCTAGGCTGCTATGAGACTTGCTTTTGCTAAAACTCCCTCACCCTGAATTAAGGCTGCAGACTTTTAACGTATATCTCTGAAACAATTCTCTAAAGTCTGTGCTAAGATGTCTCAAGGATGAAATGTAACCAAATCAATCATTTTTATCATTCCCTTGCATTTGCAACTTTTGTGTTTTTTTGTTATCTGTAAGA